CTTATGGGTAACAAGATTTGATTTTTATTTAAATTGATTCGGTACAATGAGTCTAATCTTTAAAATATAGATCAGTTTGTTGCTTTTAATAACCATAGGAAAATGAATAAAAAACGCTACTTTAGATAAAGTCTGAATTTGATGTAATGGCACCTTCATTATTTTATATCTTTACCTTTTACCTTAAATTGGCTATTGTTCCCCAGCTATCACATATACATTAGGTCATTCTTTTTTTGTAAAAAACTTAGTTTGCGGGTATAAAAATAAATTGTCTATAAAGTATTTTAATCTAACAACATTTGACTAAAAAGTGTTTTAGCTTTGAACTGAATCAATTCTAAAAGTACGCGAGTTTGAAACAAAAGAGTTGAGATCCTTATTGAATTTATTCAAACTTTTTATTTAATTCCCGATGATAAATTAAGTTTACAAAATATATTATTATAGATTTTTATTTCCAAAGATGTTTAAGATCTCTAAAACGTGTGTTATTTGGATAAAAAAAAATCTTTCAGTCTCATATTTAAATTCCTTGACCCCAAAAACCTTTCTTTGATGTAAAATACGTATTTAACCCACGCTTATCTATAAGGTTATCGTTATTATCTATTTTCTAATAGTAATCAATATTATCTATTATTTAATAGTTTGGTATATTTTTCTGTTTTTATTTAATTCGCCTCACTGTGTGACGTTACGTCTAACAAAGCAAAAAATAGGATATAATAATGTTTATCTAATCACCAGTCGTAAGGGGACAATCGAAATTTGCTTTTGTGTATGCACATAAAACATTTCGCCTTATTTGTTAAGTTAGTTTGTAAAAGAAGATTTTAAAGTAATTTGTAAAATAAAATTTCAATATAATTACTACTAAATATAATTACTACTAAATATAATTACTACAAAATATAATTACTATTAAATATATTTACTACGAAATATAATTATTACAAAATATAATTAATACGAAATATAATTACAACGAAATATATTTATTACGAAACATTATTACGACTATGTATAAATAATATTAATTATTAATACTACTAAATATAACTGCTATTTAAAATATTTACTATTAAACATAATTACTGTTAAATAAAATTATTATTAATTATAAATAATAATAAATAAAATTACTACTGAATATAATTTGGACTAAATATATTTACTATTAAATATAATTACTTCTAAACAGAGTTACTACTAAATATAACTGGAACTAAATATAATTACTACAAAATATAATACTACGAAATATACTACTAAATAATATTACATTTATATATAATTACTATTAAACATAATTACTATTAAATTTAATTATTATTAAATTTAAGTAACATTAAATATAATTTCTACTAAATATATTTAACCTTAAATATAATTACTATTAAATACAATTACTATTAAATGCAATTACTGCTACACATATTTACTATTAAATGTAATTATTATTAAATATAAATATTATTATATAAATTGCTACTAAATATAATTACGACTAAATATAATGACTATTAAATATAATTACGACTATGTATAATTACTATTAATTATGACTAATACTAAAAATATTTAAAATATAACTTTTACAATATTTTACTATTAAATATACTTACTATTAAACATAAGTACTATTAAATATAATTGCTATTAAATAGAATTACTATAAAACATAATGACTATAAAACATAACTTATATAAAACATAATTACTATAAAATATTAATAATATTAAATATAATTACTACTAAATATAATTACGACTAATTATAATTACTATTAATTATGCTTAATACTAAATACAATTAATGCATAATTACTACTAAATATAATTACAGCATAATTACTACTAAATATAATTACGATTAAATGTTATTACTAATAAATATAAATATTACTAAGTATAATTACTAATATATATAATTACTATTAAATATAATTACTACTAAATACAAATGCTGTTAAATATAATTATTTCTCAATTACCCAAAATAACTTGGTAAAATCTTATTTAAAATGATTTTGAAAATACACATAAAAAAATTATGCAAATTGCTGGGAAAGAGTGTAAAAATATTTTAACAAAAAAGCGTCTCACTAATAAACTTCTACTTTATGAGTTTGAGAAGCTTATTTATAATTATTTCAAACATGCCGCTGAGACTAAATTTTGCTTTTCAAGAGACTAACAATAGCTATCATCTGCTTACAGACTTCCATTGAGCTTAACAAGATTTGATTATTATCAAATAAAAATCAACCTATGGACATTAAGATTTAATTTCTATTTAAAAATATAATTTTTTCTGGACAACAAGATTTGATTTTTATTTAAATTAATTCAGTACAATGATTCTAATCTTTAAAAAAAGGAATTGTTTGTTGCTTTTAATAACGATAGAAAAATAAATAAAAAAACGCTGCTTTAAATAAAATCTAAAATTGATGTAATTTTATCTTATTTACTTTGATTTATATCTTTAACCTTTTCCTTAAATCGGTTATTTTTACCCTGCTATCACACATGCAACGATATTCGATTTTAAAATGTTTAAGCTTCGAACTGAATCAATTCTAAAAGCACGCAAGTTTGAAACAAAAAAAATAAGATCCTTATTGAATTTATTCAAACTTCTTATTCAATTCCTGATTATAATTTAAGTAAACAAAACATACTGTTTTAGATTTTTATTTCCAAAGTTGTTTAAGATCTCTAAAACATGTGTTAGTTGGATAAAGAAAAATCTTTCAGTCTCATATTTAGTAGCATGTTTCAGTATCATATTCCTTGACCCCAAAAACCTTTCTTTGATGTAAAATGTGTATTTAACCCACGTTTATCTATTAGGTTATCATTATTATCAACTATCTAATAGTAATTACTGTTATCTATTATTTAATGGCTTGGTATTTTTTTCCGTTTTTAATTTAATCCGCCTCACTGTACGACGTTAGGTCTAACAAAAGAACAAATAAGTTATAATATTGATTGTCTTATCACCAGTGTCCTAAGAGGATAATCAAAATTTGTTTATTTGTCTGCACATAAAACATTATGCCCTATTTTGTAACTAACTTTGTAAGTTAGTTTGTAAAAAAAGATTTTAAAATATTTTGTAAAATAAGATTTTGATTTTTTTATTTATTGATGTATACTATTCAATTTTCAAAATAAATAAGTAACTGTAAACTTTAATAAAAATTATAATATAATAAAAGTTATAAATAAAAACAAATTAAAAAAAATCTTATAAACATAATTTAAAAAATGTTAAGGGATAAGTCAAAGTAAAAGTACATATATATATATATATATATATATATATATATATATATATATATATATATATATATATATATATATATATATATATTCTGGTTTATCGGATTCATAAATGCTTGGCTCTCCAAATTTTAGCCTATTTATGCAACATATCCGGCCGCGTTTAAAAATAGGCCATGGTGCAATAGGATTTAACATAGTGTTGATACACGTCTTCTAGCTCTTGTAACGCTAATAGATCTAAAGAATAAATGTCACTTAAATTACATTAATCAGAATATACACCAAATAAAAACAATTAGAAAGAACAATAACTAAAAATATATTGTTAATTAATTTTGACAAAAATAATGAAGGTATAGAGAAATTTTTTTGTATGAATTAACTCTTACTTTTTTATTAAGTAAAATTTTTTTAAAAATAAACAATAAACTTTAGAAAAGTCAAAGAAAATGAAAAGTCTGCATCCAGTGCATCGCCAACCCACAGTGAATAAAAATAATCAAAAGGTGGCAATAATTTAACAGGGTAGTGACTTAATGAAGATTATGTAAAATGCATCAAGACTCATTATAAAAAGATGGTGTGCTGTCATTTTATTAAGAGCTTTGATGCGAGTGTATATCTTTGTCAATCATTTAACACGGAGCTAAAACTATTTTATGCATTTAATGATATGTCTCACTTTAGAAATAAATTTGTAACATATGCTTGATATAATTAAATAACATGTTTTAAATGTTTTTTAATTACATTTGTTTTTGAAAAATTGATTGAAGAAAGTTTAAGACATGTGTACCTTAACAAACCCATGACACAGTTAACCTTATAAAACCTATGACACGGTTTACCTTAGTGAGACGAATCTAAAAATAAAATAAGAGGGGTGAACCCTCAAATATTAGCGACTGGTTCCTTAAAAATCTAAAAAATGTAGGTCCCATAACTAAAATTCAATATTTGGGAAGGAAGAGGGTGGTACACCCCTCCAAAATTATATCTGAAATTAGTAAAGTGGTTGTTATTTGTTATTTTTAAGTTTTTAAATTTAATAAGCGAAAACGCGTAACGTGTGTATTGCTTACTAATGTTTATATTTGAAATGTTTTGGTTGACTTTTAAAAGTTTTTGACTCTGTTCTTTATGGTTTAAGTATTTTATTTGACACACAAACAAGTTTATTGAATTGTTTATACGAGTTTATTGTAATGTAAATAAAGTTTCATCTAAGAGCATATTAAATAAATACTATTTTTTAGAATAACCGTGATTGAACCATGAGATTAGTTATCGTATTATCGTTTTATATGATTAACTACTTTGTAATAATGTGATTAGATAAGTTATCCATATTTGGATATGCAATAGTAAAAATTGCTTACAAATCCTGTAAAAAATGTGTTATTAATATAGACTATTATTTTTTTTTAAATTATAACAAGATCCAGTTCCCTTAATGTGTATTATATACACTCCTTTTGTCAATATTGAACACATGTATCATTGGGTTTTTTTTTTACTGAAGTAATAAGCGTTTGCTTCGATTCTTACTAAAATGTTTGTTGACAAGTTTTCTGCAATTATTATTAGTGCTAACAATTTAATAATATTATTTACAACTTTTGATGATTTTTCAATTATTTAATTTTGTTTGCAATTTTTTAATGTTTTTTTTTCTTTTTTGCAAGAATATAAAAAATTTTATTGTAATAGCATTAACATATTAGAAAAAATGAAACAGTTTATTTTGATTGGCATTCTAATTCAATCCTATTCATTTAAACTTCAAAGTTTTTCGAATGATCCTCAGACTCCTATGAAGGATCCAGAATGGAGAAGGTTTAAAATAAAGTTTGGAAAATTTTATAGCAACGATGATGAAGAAATATCAAAATACTTGAACTGAAAAATAAACAATGACAATATAAAAATTCATAATTCCGAAAACCACCCTTTTGAAATAGGAATAAATCAGTTTTCTGATCTAGTAAGATTTTTTTGTTAATGTAACTTGTATAGAATGTTTTTTTGTTAATGTAACATGTATGAAATAATTAAAACAATGTTCCTAAGTTAAATTATTAAATAAATTCAGAAAAGTCTTTTACAATAAAAAGTATACAAATTTAAGCATTTCTCAAAAAAAAGTGCCAACAAACACTTTTAAAATTAGACTGCTTGTTTATAACTAAACTCCTCAAACTTGTCATTAATAACTAAAAAAGTAAACTATATTATTAGCCAATAAAGTTGCTAAAACTTTCAAATAATAAATTTGAAAATTTTAAGAACGGTTTTTAAATAATAAATTAAAATTTAAAACTTCGCTTTTACGCATACACTGATTAAAAACCCAATATTAAAAGTTTTAAACAACCCGTCACAGGAGTAAGGGGCGGCGGTGATATTTAGGTGTTTTTATTTTGTGGATTCCAGATAATCTGGTATGATTGTGAAGAAGAAAAGGGTAGCATTTTCGAATCGTATTAAAATGTTATATAATTTTAAAGACTCTATTTAAATAAATTTCTTCACTTTTAAACAAAAGAATGTGTTAAATATATAGAAATATTTAGAAATATAATTTTATTAGGTGATGCAATAGTGGCGATTGCCAGATTGCCCGTATTGAGCCCCATATGGAACGCCCTTGCTGTCACGTAATCTAACTTTTAATAAAATAATAGAAAAATGTAGAGTTAAATTTATATCAAGCGGCAAATTATTTTAAGTTGTATTATAAGTTTTAATATTGGGTTTTTAATAAGAATATTGAAACTTTTAAATAGCAATAAAAACGATAATTGGTTTTTATAATGTGAATTTATTTGCAATTAAAAACCCATTATAAAAACTTATACATGCTAGTCATACATCTTAAAATTAAAAAAAAATTCTTGACAAAAAAACAGTTTCAGAATTTTGAAGTTTCAATAATTATAAGTTAATAATAACTATTACAAGTTAAAATAAAGTTCAAAGTTAAATAACAAAATAAAATAAATAAAACAAAATAAATCAAAATAAAGTAAATTAAACAATGTTAACAAAATATAAAAAAACTAACAAAATAAAATATAATAAAACAATTAATTAAGCAACTAATTAAAGCAATCAATTAAACAGTTAACTGAGCAATTAATAAACAAAACAAAATAAAACAAAGTAAACAAATTAAAATAAATTGAAGTTCAAAATTAAATAACAATTTATTAGAATAAGACGTTTAATACAGGTTTATTTTAATATTAATATTTGTTTAATTTTTGTTTATATGTCATAACACTTGTTTTCACCATTTTCTTTGTTTATTATTTTTTTTTCCATTTTCTTTACATCATATATACTAAATTAATTAAAATTGTAATTTTGTAAAATCTTAGAGGAAATATTAAAAAAAAATACACAAAAAAAAAGTTCTTTTATAAATTATAAAAATAATATGTGAAAACATTAAAAAAATATGGCATGTTGTAAAACAAGTAATTGGGACTATATTTGAAAATATTTTACCAAAACACAATCTCACTATTAAATAGCTACTTTAGACCGGGTGAATAAAAATAAGCAATTGCTTTTACTCATAAATTGGTTAGCTTTACGTGAATAAAAATCTAAAAAAATTAGCTTAAGTTTTTATTCATGTGAAGCTGAGCAACTACTGAGTAAATTGCTAAACTTAAATAGTAAGTTGACTGAGTAAATTGTAAATATTAATAAATATTAAATTGTATAAATTAATTTGAATATAAAATATACAATATGTAAAATTGTATTAAATTAAATATTAAATTGTATAAATTAAATAGTATATTGACTGAGTATATTGTTTAACTTAAATAGTAAAAAGTAAATAAAAATTTGAGGAAAACTTTTAAAGTTTCACGTAAAGCTGACCAATTACTGAATAAAAGCTATTGCTCAATTTTAATAACCCGGCCTTTTATGTGTGTACTATTGTTGAGAAGCTTATTTATTAATATTTCAAACATGCTGCTAAGACTAAATATTGTTCTCTTAGAAACTAACAATAGCTCTCAGCTGCTGACGAAATTCCATTAAGCTCAACAAGGTTTGATTATTATTTAAAAAATCAATACACTTATTGAAAACAAAATTTGATTGTTACTTAACAAGATTTAATACACTTTTTGAATTTAAGATTTGATTTATATTAAAAATAACAAAAAAATTTAATTTATTTTTTTAAGATGATATAGTACAATTGGGTTTATCTTAAAAAAATGATTTGTAAGATGCTTTAAATAATCATAAGAAAAAAATAAAAATGCTGATTTTGATGAAATCTGTATTTGAGGTCATTGTACTATTGTTTTTTTTATATCTGTACCTTCTTTTCTTTAATCATTTATTGTTCCTGGCTAGTACACATACGTTGATCCAATAAATACAACACAACGTGTTGGGTTACATACGTCGGTTTGTTACTCGCAACGTCGTAATGTTGCTTGTGCAAAGTAGTTATAATACTTAAATTTTTACCTTAGTCAATATTGAAATACCAAACTACAAACAAATCAAACATAAATAATGTTTTAAAGTCATTAGATTCATTAACAAGCAAAAATGTTTTTAAAAAAATTTCCATTTACGCAGATTTTTTAATTCCATTTTGGTTTAAACGAACAAATAAACTAAAATAATAAATAAAAAAATAAATAAAAAAATATATAAAGAGATGTATAACTTCTTTATTGTAAAAACTTAGTATTATATTAACTCGAAATAATTTAATTTTATAAAATTGTAAATATTTTTTGTGGAATGGAATAAAGTTAAACTCTGCAGTATTCATAATATTTTTAAGTTTCCTGATTACCTCGTGTTGAGTTTCGTTCTTCTGAAACATGCACAACACGCTTTCTTGATAAATCCGAGCATTTGAGTTTTATTAAAAAATTAGACTAAGAAATGTTAAAATTTGCAGAAAAATTTTACTGTTTCTTGTGTACAAAGATTGTTTTTTGTACATATAATTCAATAATATTTTTTATATGAGCGTTTATTGGTCTTTTAACTCGATTTTTTTTTATCAGAAAACGACTTAAATGCAGTCATGTCGTCAAATGTATCTCTGTTTAATTTAATGACAAAATATAAACTGTGCGTTTAGATAAATAAAGAGAAGTGGAAATGTTTGTTGTAGATTCTTTTTTTTCAACTAAGTGTTTAAGCATTTCAATGCACTCTTTTGTAACATTTTCCCTTGTTTTACGATTGGCGCTTTAATTTTCTCTTCCATCTACAGCGTATATATTTGAGTATTAATAATATAAATAAATAAATATAAAACTAGATATATGAATAATTACATGAATAATAGTTTTAATCAATCAATAAATTTAATGATAAAATTAAACAAAGTCCTGAAACTGAATTAAGTATGAAAATGAAGTTAGTTTGTACTCTAAATAAACCATCGTCGAATGTAAAAAGTCTTCGAATGTAAGATATCTTTGTATTTTTAATTCATGTATTTTTTATACAGTTTATCTTTAAAAAAAACTGTACTTTTTTAATGAATAAACGCCCAGCTAAAAATGAGTCACCCCCCTCCATCTTTTACCTTGTGAAATTTGTATTTTTGGGCTAAAAATACTCACTCAAACATTTCCTTTGCGTATTTTAAAGTCGCTATCTTTAACCTAACGGTTTTTAAATCCATTTAAAATAATCATGACAACCATTTAAAACAACCATGACATTCAATTAAAACACCGTGACAACTAACTGATGTGGCTTTTAAGAGATTTTCAAATAAAACATTTAGCGCATGCGCAATCTCATTATTTTTTAAAAAAGGTTGTATTTATATATTTATTTAAATAAATTACTTTTTATTAATATCATATTAATTTATTTTAATTTAATTAAATTTACTTTAATTTTAAACTGATGACATAATTAAATGGATGCAAAACCCGGTATATGTGTGACACACATATACTGTGTGTAAGCCTTAAAAAATAGTAAGATACTGAGCGGTTTGATGTAGGGCCCTGCAAATTGCAGCAGGTCTTGATTCGCAATTCGAATCACGTTTCAAATCAATATTTTGAAGCCTAATTTTAAACCTTTTTTATATAAAAATATATATTTTAAAATAAAATAAAAAAAAACAATTGTATAATCTCTTTATCAATGCTTCTCGCCCTGGTTAACCTTTTTTATGACTGATTCAAAATATATTTAAGGATAAGTAACGTTATTTTGATAGCGCCAAAGCGCAGAATATCTAAAATACCCATAACAAAAACAAAATAAACAAGAGTTCGACTTTTGAAAGTTTTTGAATTGTATCTTGAATTATATTTTTAATTTGATTCGATTCGAAATTTCGAAGCTTTGCAGGGCCCTAGTTTGATGTTGAGAGTTACGTATTATCTATAAAGAAAAGAATAGGGGAATGGTGTTACAGCAAATATACGAGTAACAAGATATTATAGAAAAAGAATTAAAATTGTCCAAACAGAGATTATAACCACGGCCTTTCGAGTATGAAGAGGACGCCTTGTCCAAAGCAGCTAAACGCGCAGTTACTGACTCAGACAAAATAAATATTATATTATAAAAACGTGTTGGTAATCATAGGTGGGTTAAATGAACGTTATGGTTGTTTATTCAATAAGATAAGACCATGTAAAAATGTGTATCTAAACAGCATTGATAAATTAAAGTTTTAATAAATATGTATACATGGGTGTATGTATAAATATGTATACATGGGTGTATTATGATTGATTTAATTGAAAATCACATTGTTTTAATTGATTGTCACGATGTCTTAAATGAATGTCATGTTTGTTTTAAATGGATATAAAAACCGGTAATGAACTTTGATTATAAAGTGTTTTAGCTTTTAACTGATTCTATCTAAAAATACGCGAGTTCGAAACAAAAGAGTTAAAATCCTAAATGAATTTATTTAAACTTCTTATTTAATTCCTGATGATAAATTAAGTGAAT